TCAAACTTAGGTTACGCGCTTAAAATTCGCGTGATTATAATAACCATCAATTTATCATAACCATCTTCCTAACAATCTATCAAAAATGACAGGATAAAACAGAAACTACGAGCTTTTAATGAGGATTAAATAAGGCTGTCAGCTAAAGGTTACGATAAGTCAGATATACAGTTAAAATAAGAGACTAAGTAAAGTTATTTCTAAAAAAATCAAAGATACGTGTTAGATTTTATGAACGCTAATCATAAATTGAGTCAGTTTAAATATTGCTTATAAGTACTTGATGTTTTTAGTTGTGCTTTGTTATAAATTAGTTGTGCTTTTTATTATAAATGCTGACAACACATTTTCTGTCAAATTAAGTATTTGTATTTTAGTTTACGTAAATCATAACATATAAATTTCAACTTCTTTAGGAGTGGTAGGTTTTGCTCAGATTTTTATGTAGTTTACCCCATTTATTTATGTATAGAAAATAGGGCATTGCTATTGTAAATATGTGTAATTTAGAATTGAAAAATATTTTTAAGAAGTAATTTGCTTTTACTCAATTATTTTTATCTTAAATTTTTCTGAACTACGTAAGTAAGAGTTACTACAAGAGGGAATCAAAGCAGGGGAAGAAAAAAAACCCCGCTTAAATTTAGAAATGTCATAATTTTTTACCAGTAATTTTAACAAATTTATTGAGTATGCAAGTTTTATTTATTAATTTTCACCTTTAAAAGCTATCAAAGAATTCATAAAGCATTTAAGCGTAATGACATAGTTATATTAGTATTTTAATCAACCATAGTTTTAAAGATACACTAAAAAATTAGTTATACGCTTATACCGTATATTATGACGATATATAATGAAACTAGAGACATAAAAAACTAACAACAAATTATTCTTAATGCTATTGTTGAGCTTTAAGTTTATTCGGTTTTTAATAGCATAACAGTAAAGATCTAAACATTTGATTATTATAAATATTATTTCACTAGAAAATTAACTTTATTAACTTTATTCATAATACTATTATTGAATTTTAAGATTATTTGGCTTTCCGTAATATAACTGCAAGGATCTTTACTTAACAATTAATGACAATTAACAATTAACGATAAAATTATATATATTTAATGTATTTTTATTTTTAATTATCTACTATAAATTATTTTTATGCCATTTTTCTAGATTTGCCTAAACAGACCCAAAAATTTATTTCCGAAATCAGACATGAATAATACTTTGTTAAGATTAATCTACTCTTAAAAGTTTCTCAAACTTAACATACAAAATTAAAAATTAAAAATCTTTATAGCACCGAAAGAAAATCACAATTAGTCATTCTTCAAAATTGATGACTGGTGACAAACACAACTGTGCCAATTTTATTGTCAAAAGGATCTGGCGTCAAAATGATTGATTTTAGTGAGGCTTATTCAGTTCAAATCATTGCGCGAAAACTATGGAAATGCATGTTATCGATTGCCCCCATACTTCATGTCGTTATAACAGCTATTCTAATTACCTAGTAGTGTTGAATAGCAAAATGCAAATACGCGGCAATAGTTACGTTTTCCTAGTATCCGGGCTTTGATCAACTTCATACCGAAATGGGCATAAACTTTCTCAATAATGGTCAAAATAACAGCTTAAACTTACCGTTATTGGAATCACCCTGGGGGCATTAAGAGAGTCCATGCAATTAAGATGATGAGATAGCTGTGGGGTTAATTTTCCCACTAACACCAGGAAATAGATGTGGTTAGTACTTGTACTTCCTGCCTGATGATACGACTTAATTTGAAATGCGTTTGAAAACTTTTTAAAAGTACTAACTTAAGTTACTCTAGTGTGTCCTTCTAAATTAAGTGAAAAGAAATATTATCTTTTGAATATATTTGCATACAATATGTTTTTAAGACTCTAATATTTAAAACGGCTTTCCTTTTAAAAGTTATTCCTTCTAGTAAAAAACGATTGACATTTTGGAGAGGTTTTTATAACAAATTTTTCTTTTCGTAAATAGCAAATAAATTGCTGTATCAGCATCGCAAAAATAATGACAAAAATTTAATATTTTTAACTGATTAAATGCTTCAAACAATGCAATCTATGCTTTATTTTAACTAACAATTAACAGTGTGATAGTAATTTTTTGAATTATAGAATACTAATGATAAAAACATATTAAGTGTAAAGAAATACTATCTTTTGAAAGTATTTGCTTACAGTTTTGAGTTGAATGGCTTGTTTTTAAGGTTTCCATTATTTAAGATACCTTTACTACTAAAAGTAATTCTAGTCTAAACCAACTGTCAAAATATTACTTCGCTTTTTATAATATTTTCTTTTCATAAATAGTAAATAAATTACTATGCCAGAGTAGCAAAACTGTGATATTCTTAACTGAATAAATGATTCTAACACTGCAACATGAGCTTTGTTCTGCATTGTTTGAAGCATTTATTAGTTATAGCAATTAATTGTTCGACAGTGCATTTTTGAACTATAGAACATTAATGACTAAAACACACAAAGTATTAAAAAGATATTAAGTGAAAAGAAATATTATCTTTTGAAAATATTTGCGCACAATTGTGCGTTAAGTTGCTTGTCTTTAAAGTCTTTAATATTTGAAGCGTCTTTTCTACTATAAGTGATTATTTTTAGTCTAAAACAACTGTCGAGATTTCGTAATAGTTTTCATAATAACATTTCATTTTTGTAAATAGTAAATAAAGCACTATCACAAAAATAATGGCAAAAATGTAATATTTTTCACAGAATAAATTCTTCAAACAATGCGCATGTGTGCATTTTTATAACTAACAATTAACAGATTGATAGAATTAAAGAATCAATTATATGTTTGATTCATAGAATGCTAATTATTAAACAGGCAAAGTATCGAATGGTTATTAAGCGAAAAGAAATGTTATTTTTTCGAAATATCTGAGTATAGTTGTAAGCTAAAATGCTTGCTTTTGAAGCTTCTAATATTTAAAACGCCTTTTTCAACTAAGTTAGTTAGTTATTTAGTGTTTTTGGCACAAGAGCCGGAAATGGCTATACCGCACCATGAACTTGGTCTAAAAAACGAGTGCTTGGTTTAAATAAGACCTAAAATAGAAAAAAAGGTAAATTTTAAAAGGTGAAATTAAATTGAGGTAGATAATCCAATGTCCTTAAGGTATAACAGAAGATTATAGTGTGGTTTATCGCCAACAAGTAAATGTAAAGTAGGATTATTGCAGCCAAAATAGCGTTGTCTGAGAAGTTTAAATTTGTTGCACTGGGTCAGAACGTGTTTCGCAGTTAATGGTTCATTACAGCTAGAGCAATCTGGTGCAGGTTCACCTAGTAAGAGATGCCTATGTGTAATACGTGTATGACCAATACTCAAACGATTCAATATAACTTCGTATTTTCTCGGCAAACTTTGTTTCATTACTGGTTCTATATTTGGTATAAGACTGTGTAACTTGTTATTTGTCTCCTCATTCCAACTTTTTTGCCATTCGAACTGTAGTGTAAAATTAATCGCATTTCTAATATCTAAATATGATAATGGTCGAACTGAAAGGTTTTGAGTCAATTAAGCGAATTCGTCAGCCTTTTCATTACCCAGAATGCCACAGTGCCCAGGAATCCACGATAACATCACAGAATAACCCAAACTTTGTAAATTTTCATAAGTATAAACTACGATAGAATGAGACGTATGGGTAAAATTGTTTAATGCTGCCAGACAACTTTTAAAATCGGTATAAATGTACCATTTTTTGTGTGTTTGGGTAAGAATAAATTGTAGAGCCAATAAGATGGCCTGAGCTTCGCATATAAAAACTGAACAAGATGGATGCAGTTTTTCAGTGATGATTTCATTTGGCGTCACCACTGCAGATGCTATATGACGGTCATTCTTCGAGCCATCAGTGAAAATAGGGTTAAAATCCTGATACTGTTCACGATGCGAATTAAACATTTGTCGGTACATTAAAGTAGATGTCTCACGTTTTGTCTGATTTTCAAAAATATCAATAGTGTTAAAATACAGTACGTTCCAAAGTGTTAGTTGTTTATATGCTGGTAAAATTTCATAATCTTCTAAATTTAAAAAAGATAAAAACTTTTTCCTCCTGAGTCCAAAAGTCGGAGTACAGGATGGTCTATTGTTAAAAAGGACTTCATAATCGGGTATGAAAACCTTATCAAACATGGGATGATTAGGATGACTCTTTAGATGAAAGTAGTAATTTAATGAAAGCTTAGTTCGTCGGGAGATGAGAGATGGTTCCTGAGTTATTACTTGCAAACTTTTAATGGGTGAAGTGCGAAAAGCACCAGTTGCTATACGCATTTTCAACTAAGAGTGACTCATTTTAGTCCTAAACGACTGTCACGAATTTGTCTAGGTTTTAGAACAAAATTTTATTGTTGTAAATAGCAAATAAATGCAAAAAATATTTGCAAAAGTGTAATATTTTAACAGAATAACTGCTTCAAAAAATGCACTATATGCTTTATTATAGCAAATAATTAACATTTTAATAATGGATTTTCAGATTATAGAATACAAGGGACTAAGACAAGTAAAATATATTAAATGGATATTGATAAAACAATGGGAAAGTTTCAGCAAAAGTGCGAGTTTTTGCAATTAAAACTGTTTTATTCTTTGGCAAAAAAATATTAACATGAGTTTGCTTTCAATATTTATGCAATCAAAATTTACAAGCATGTAAATTGTGATGCAATTTAACATGTCCTTTATAACTAGTATAGTAATTTATAATAAAACATGTAATTTAAAGTTACAGTTTTCTAACATTTATATACTTTAGAAATTGTAAAGCTGATTTATAAACACGTTTTGTTCTTTAAAACTGTCTATAAACGCTGCATAATATTGCAACTATAAGGCTCATTACGTCTAAAACTAGTTTCAGTAAACGGTAATCGTTGTTCATTTTAAATAAAAGTGGACTGTTTAAAAAATTACTTACAGACGTATATCCTAGGATCAACATCTCTTTTGGGATCGTCCATTTTTCTAGACTTCGCTTTTTTCAGAGCAGCATTGGTGGGGGCAAAAAGTGTTACATCTCGACTATCTAATAAAGTTACAAGAACTGTTCCTTGCCCCACCATGTTATAGAACTGTAAAAAAAATAAAACATGTAAATTACAAATTTAAATAGCAATGATTATGAACAAAATTAAGTTAGTATGGACAAATAAAAGAAAATTAAATGAATGGAATGTAAGTGAATACATATTTTTCAATGTCAAAGTACCTAAAAAAATTTTGAGTACCTGGTAATATTTATCAAAAAAAAGAAAGAGAAAAAGAGAGAAATATTACTAGATACTCATGCTTCTAGCTTTCTATCGACAATTCTTGCAACTAAAAAAACACAGAAAACTTGTTTGTACGTTATTATAATAGTTAAAGTAAAGATAAAGTCAAATAAGTTTTATTTATGTTTCAACGTTCAAGAAAATCATCAAAATTTGAAAATGCTTGCTTAAATAATAATAATAATAATAAATTAATAAATAAATCTAATAATTCTTCATTTTAAGTAAATTTTGAGATAGATTATGTCGAATCAAAAAAATAATTAGAATAATAGATGAGTATATTTGATATGGATGCATAATACCTCTATGCTACGCATATTTAGTCTTTTTTTTTAATTAACTCTTAAAACTATTATGGACGTAGTTTTCTGAATTGATCATTCTGTAGGAATGCTTGAAGGAGGAAAAAACATTGCATTTAAGTGCCCAATCTTTGAACGGTTTTCTAGATCAAACTATTTGAGATACATATTGGGAGCATATTTCCCAGATTGCGGTAACCCCTAGGTATTGGGCAAACCCGTTAGAAGGCATGGCTTCGTAGAAACTGCATTTTTATGTCTGATTTCGTAGCTTAAAATACATCTGGGAAAATTAATTTTCAAATTCAACTTCACCCGCTCAAACCATTTACTTCTAGTTCGTAAAGATCTGATCATTAGATCAAAATTTATTCAAGATCTTTCCTTTTTTTTCTTTTGCTCACTGTACATATATCTAACTTAAAAATTTGTGAAGGTTCAAAGGTGTGATGGCTGCTTATTTTACTGAAGGTTAGGATTTTGATCCGTGTATAAGCAATAGTTATCTGCAAGTCCACTCTTAATATGTAGAAGTTTGCATATTTTCATAAATGTAGAGGCACATTCGTATTTTTTCGTAGGTTTCGCAACTGCATTATTTAAATGGTTAATGACTTCGCAATACTTATTAACTTGGCCATTCTTAATCTTAAATTTCAACGTGTGTCGAAAAGATGTACCATTTTCTTTTAATTTTGTCTTAAAATGTGAGATGAGTAAGCCTGCGTATTTTCTAAGCTTTTTACTCTCTAGAAATTATGCAACTTTATGGAGGGTTGCTACAAATTTACCTCCAAATGTAGCGTGAATGGACAACTAGTCAACTTTTCATTTTGGACATAGCTATGCTTCTGTGAATCTTTAATGCAAAAAGTATTTATTTGCTTTGCTCCGAGCCTCATCTATTTTATCATATAATTTTACTTGTCTGATTTTAAACAAAAACCGGTTCTGAAACAAGATAAAAAGTTTCTTCTTCAAACTAGCACAAAGCAGGGCTCGCTACCTAATAGAACAGAACCTCTTTCCTGACTTTGAAGATCTGCTCAATTTGAGACAAATATTTACACTGGAAATTTAAAACTCTGAAGAAGAGCTCCAACCCATTTCAACAAAGCAAAACAAAAAACAATTACCTTGCAATGTGGGATCACAAAGCAAAAGGCATAATGCGAAAAGAAGTATACATCGCTTAGTTGAATGGATATTGCCGGTCCAAACAGATGGTGTAACAGCGGGGGGTCTGTATCTTGCCCTCCCGGGATTTTTGACCTCTGACCTTTCTTCTTCCTCTTTTTTTTTTTTTGCTCTCGAGGCTCACCCTTTTCTTTCCGACCCCACATTGTATGGCGTAGTTTTGGCAAGTTCTGTCTCTCCTTATAGACTTAACCATTCATTTTTTTATATTCTATTTCCCGCCTTTCCTTTAACGTTAAGAATAACAATTAATGTTAAGTAACCTTTATCCAAGCGCAATGAATGCTTTAAAATTTATTTAGATTATTTTTTCTTTTTTAGAAATGGACGTTTTCCTTTAAAGAAAAATCTAAATCAACCATTTTGCTACGTCTTATTTTGTTATCAAGTATACTATTCTTATCCAATCCATGCACAGAATTCGTAAACAACGCATTTCTTAAATTAATTTAAAAAAAAGAAAAACGAAATGTTTATCAATAATAATTTGTTTTTTGGAGTTTTCATCTCCTTCGATTTGTACTGCGAGTTTTTTCAAATGAAAACCAAAAACAGTGAATATAAAAAGTTATGTGAGATATGTTTTATGCATTTTCAGATCCCCTTTACGATAAAATGCTATTTTTTCATCCAATTTGCGAGCTTTCTCGGATGAAAAATTCAATCCAACAGGAGTCGAAGAGTTTCAAAATGTTTTTACGTGCTCTGTAAATGGGAAAGTGCTGCACGGGTTGCAAAGGAAAACACAAATGGGAAAGAAAAACAATTTTCAATAAAAGTTGGCTTTATAAAGGGTTTTGTTTGCGAAGAAAAGAACAAAATATATTTCTCGAAAATTTGATTTTACCTTATTATTAACTATTGAAAAGAAGTTGACAGGCAAAGATATGCAGTTTAAAAATTGTAATGAATTGTATTTAAAAGCTTTCGTTTTATTTTCAAAAAGCTATCTAGAAATTATTTTATGGTTTCAAGAAAAGATAAACTAAACGCTTTAACATATTTTTAAATAAAAGAAACATTTGATCATCGAATTCACAATAAATAAAAAGAAAAAAACAAAATAAATTTTTAGGACCGTGGGATAGAAACTTCTCTCCATATCTTAATTAAGTTTTGGGAATTTAATTTGATTGAGCACTTAGCTTCGTAGCTGTATTTTTTTAAATAAATTATTCAACAAAAATTAAATTAATAATCCATTTCATATTTATAAATTATACTAAATTAGTTAAAACTGAAAGAGAAAATTTAACATTTAATTATTCGCTTTTATTTTAAATAGCTATTTCAAAAATTTTCTTCTAACTATTTAAGTTTAACAGCACAGTGTGTTTATACAAACAACGTTGCCATGTGTTTATACAACCATGTCTAAAATGTGTTATACAATAACAATATTTAATTAAAATTCTTTCAAGAGTATTTGAAATATTAAAAATCATTTAATTTTTCAATACTTTTATTCTTCGCTCCCAGTTTAATTGTTTTAATTTAGTGTAAGGTATTTGAGATAGATTTTTTGAGAAAACACTGGCAAAGTATAGATAATTTCTCTTTTAGTAGTATTATTCACCATTCAAACTATATTGGACAATTGACGTTCATATTCTTGAATATTTACAATAATTGATGCTATTGTTGTTTAATGATGCATCATAGTTCTTTTATATTGTATTTCGTTCTCCTTCTTTGCAAATTCAGAAAAACAAGTAAAAAATTGATTTTCTAACCTTTTGTTAACATTGTTTATTGTTTTTGTACTTTTCTTTAACCTTTTTTACTTGATTTTAAAAAACTTTATACACTCTAGAAACAAGAATTTCAGGTTACATCATAAAACAACTTCTTTACAGTTCTTAAGTATCAAGCGATCCTATTGAGAAACGGTTTTCAAGCTGGCTGGATTTGTTGGTGCAAAGCTCTATGTTTCGAAAGAACTGAAATGTTTGCGGTCTTCAGTTTCGCCAATGTGCCATAAATCTTGGGTCCAATAGCCATTTGTGGATATTACCCTTCACCGACTTCTGATTCATGAGGCTCTTTCGTCAGAAAAAGAAATGGTGAGGTAAACTGGGCGGTAAAATAACTTTCGTCTGGGAGGAACACATAAAAAGCATTAAGAATACTTCAACGCAAGTAACTTGAATTTAAGGGCAGTTTTACCTAAATGAAGGCGTCAAATGTTTCCAAACTATGCCATTAAAGAATTGCATTATAATAAAATGTTTCGCCTTTCGCATTATGTTCTCTGTATTTCAGGATTATGCAGTGTTCCTTATATATAAATATATACCCCTTCACCGACAGTGACATTTATGCTATATATATATATA